ATGCAAGTGTCCATGACAGACTTGCACAGGAAGTCCTCGAGAAGGAACACCTCAGGGGTGGGGATCGACTGGAGTTCAATGGTTCAGATGGAACCAGAACGGCAGCCCCAGATGACACCGCCATAGATCACCATAGTAACCACACCCGGGGAGACAATGGACCAATCCAAGAAAAATTTGATTTGGGAAAACTCGGATGAACCTTGGTCCATGTCTTTCAATTGACGACAGTGAGTCTGAATCATCATCTGCAGGTCATGGCGATGAGGGCATGGTCACTGGTAATGGTTCTGTGGGTAACTCAGGTTTGGTGAATCAACAGCTATCTGCTGGTGAGGAACGGAAAAACCGCCCTTCCTTCCCAACTGGAAAACTTTATTTTGAAACTGTCTTTACAATTACATGATTGCATGTATACAAACACTCTTCCAAACTGGCAAACTTAACAAGAGAACTTGATTGATGGATGGACAGAATATCTATGGGCCACAAGCAAAAGGATGTGAAATACATTCCTTGCTTCAAAATGAAAGCATGCGTCCTGCTTAAGAGAGGTGATGAATGTAAATCTTTACTACCCTTTCCTCCTCATATCAGTCGTCTTCTACGACAAGCGAAGCTATTGATGACTTCACAACTGGGTGACGGGTATATGTTCGGTCCAGTACACTGGCTTCGTGTTATAAGTTCACTCTTTTCAAAATTTCGAACGGTGCATACGTTATACAGAGCTTAAGAAGCAATTTCATTACTCGATCACTCGTCATAGTAATCACCAAATAGGTTAGCTTCCCACTTAATTTCTTGCTTCTACATTTGTCTTTTTGAGATCAATTGTCATTCACATTTTGCCACCGACTTACATGTAATTTTAGGATGGTAAAACCATCTGTAGAAACAAAGGAGACCAATGAAACAGCGTCACGTGTTTCATATTCAGGTCTATGCATAAACATTCAGATTGACTTTTACTTTTGTCAGGTAGACAATTGACTTTCCTTTGCGTGTATTCAGTGTGAAGGATACGGTCACACATAGTGCAACCGCTATTTGATAGTAATTCACCGGTGCATGCTTATGATAGTGTCTGTATCGTCCGACGGACCTAATTTTTAGCATAGATTTCATATCGTTATGGAGATGGTTTTGTCGCTCTTATCTATACATATCAACTATTTCCTTCATTGTCTCTATATAAGTGTCGCTGGTACTTTTGTGGTACTGCTCGCTGTCCAAGGGGGCAGACTTATCCAATATATTCAGCACATAACATTCTGCTGTAGCAGCTTCGAGGAAAACAGTATTCTTCTTCTCAAAGAACTGCAAAAGTTTAGTCAAGTCATCGATAACAAATGTCGTGTATTATTCAAGAAATAAACATGGCCATTTACTGGCAAAAGTTTTATATTTTCCACGTATCTTGTAACTTGTAGTTTGAACCTGAAACCAGTTTAACTGATTGGAAATATGGCAAGAATAATCACATTAATACTGTCACAAGACTGTCATATTATCGTAAAGGGTTTAGCGCAACAAATCCTTTCACAAAGCATATGCACGATGGCATATGACACTTCAAACAGAAACAGGGGGCGATGGGGTAGCCTAGTGGTTAAAGCGTTCGCTCGTCACGCCGAAGACCCGGGTTCGATTCCCCACATGGGCACGATGTGTGGGCCATTTCTGGTGTCCCCGCCGTCATATTGCTGCAATATTGGTAAAGCGGCGTAAAACCATACGCGCACCTCACTCCCTCGAACAGAAACATGTTTAGTTTCAAAATGTTTTGTACAGCTTGTAACAACACTCTGCACACACAATATATGTTGTTAAAAAGACTGAGTTTGGTATTCTATAGCTGTCTCCACAGTAATGACGACAGTGATGAACGATGAGGAAATGGTCACTGGTAATGGTTCTTAATTGGGTAGCTGCTCAGGTTTGGTTCAGGTTCGGCTGAATTTCGGCACACAGGGCTTGTAACTCTAACAACTGCCATCAAGGTATGTATACTGTCAGTAACGTGCTTTGACCCCGTTAGTGACAGTAGGCCTACATACCTTGATGGCAGACTTTAGCAAAGCCTGTGTTCGGCACTTACAAACTGACTTCACAGTCGCCGATATTTATTATAGGATATTTATATAGCGCACATCCACGCATTAGTGCATGCTCAAGGCGCTGGTATTTTTTCCCTCGATCATTGGATGTCAATCTCAACGGCACATCGCATTATCAATCTCAACTCCCTGGGGAGTATACAACTCTTGCAGCTACTAGGCGCACCAAGTTATTGTGGCTTTCTCATCCTAACGAGGTACCCAATCACAGCTGGGTGGACTGGGACGCATAGTCACAGTACTTTGTCCATGTTCACTGCACGTTGATGTACCCGCAACTAATTGTTTGCACATATTCATGTGGCTACCATCTGGTCAAATACCAACGGATTCGTGGGTTCTTTTAAGTGCACAGGGTTGTGTACTGTACACTAGGGGGTGTGACAACACTGAAAGAGTCTGCGCACAAAGTTGACTCCAAGGTTTTTACACCCGGTCACATGTGGGCTCGATCCCTTTACCTCAACCTCGCTGGATCACTAGCCTGGCGCCTTAGCCAGCTCGCCCACCGCGCCCCTCTGACGCAGGTCTGCCAGGGGCATACGTCACATCAGTCAAGATAATGGCATTTAAGCCCGTTTCTGATCTCTCCTGCCGCGATATTGCTGGAATATTGTAAAGCGGCGTAAAACAAAACTCACTCACTCGTGAAAGGGTCGCCGGTACTGTCACATAATTGACACAGCAGAGGCTCCACTGCAATTTAACGCATCGGCGGGTTTTAAATGCTATTGTTGGAAGGTCAAGGTCTACACTCACGCTATCATATTATCTGATTTGAAATATTATATGAATACAAGCAATTTATGAATATCATCTGTAATATCACTGAAGTTCTGATCACCATGTAACAAAACACCATCAATGAAAATCTTTTTCAATTGAACTGTCTCCGATCTCTATATCCATTTAGGCAAATGTCCCTCTAAAATGTATCATTATATAGACATATGTAACAGCCTATTGGGCGAATGTATATCGGTGATGGAACAGAATGTCGTTTTCTGATTGGCTGAGCCCTCTTCTATTAATTTCAATGTACCCCGCTTACAATTGTTGCCGAAATAGCCAGAATATGTAGCAGACGACAAATGGATTAAAAAATAGTCACGTGACATCATGGTCGACCATGTGACAAGATACTACGACGATACGCTGTGTCGTTTTTGAGTAGCAGTAAGCCCATTTTAAAAACGGGCATCGCTATACACGATATCAACGCTGTTACAATTGTACGTAATAATATGGACACGCGCTGTAATTCATCAATATTGTAATTCCCGTATTCTTGAATATACGAATGGTCCTCTCAAAATAGGAGAAAATGCTACACAGTGTAAGATCGGAATTGTGATGATTTGTTTCAACAAGTACACTTTTCACACCTTATCTATTTTGCTTGATTTCATACAGACACTTTGTATTGATGACAAGACCATATTGCTTTAAAAGCAAACCACCCATGTTGATTAAATATTTTGTGAAAATTGGCCTTTGTAAATAATATTTGATGAACAAAGACTTAGCCCCCGTGTTGACGCATCAAAAGTGTTCTTGTTGCTGTACTAAATAGTCTACAGGACAAATTCAGCATTTTCTAAGTTAATAAATCAACACTTATATATCGCCACAAAATATAATAAATTCATTTTCCGACTTACTGTTGATTTTGTGCCAATGTTAGCGCACCTACCCGCTCTAAAACATACATACCTTTCTGACGTCGTCCGCGAGGAAGTTTGGAATATTTGCAATACGAGATAGCACTACGATCGCTTTGTGAAACAGCGGTCTGTTGACCCCAGCAAAGTGTTATTATACAATTGTAGACTGGTGATGAGGTCTATTGTATAATATTATAGGGTATTTATATAGCGCACATATCCATGCAACTAGTACATGCTCGAGACGCTGGAGTGTTCCCTTGATCAACAGTTGTCTTTTCAACCAACTCAACTCCCTGGGGAGTATTCAACTCATGCAGCCTGTTAGGCGCAGCGAGTTATCACACAGCCTCATCCACAGAAGGTACCCATTCACAGCTGGGTGAACTGGGACACATAGTCACAGTATTTTGTCCTGTGATTCTGCACGTTACTATTCGTTGGTTTCACATTATTTTTCAACTCGCTGTGGGCATGCGCAGAGCGTGTGAAAAATAACCACTGCATGTTTCCGGTTTGGTCGTATGTTTATCGATAGTGTAAACACTCCAAAGAAAACAAAAATCAAAACAAATATATAGTTTTATGTCGAATATAACTGCTCCCAATTGATTTATGAAACAGAGGCCGGGATTAGTTAAATAAATAGCTTCATTTATGTCAACAAGCTCTTGTATAAAGACATCTCACCACCACCGTCCTTCCCGCACATCCCCTTCTCACAACTAAACAAACACATCTCTGATGGAATTGCAACCAAAATAGGACATCAATTATTGAAAAGCAGAGGCAAATGGAAGTATGTACGCAACTATGAACAGTTGTCACAACGTAAATAATTTTCATAACAGCTTTTATTTAGGGTGCATTTACACTATCGATAAGCATACGATCAAACCGGAAACATGCAGTGGTTATTTTTCACACGCTCTGCGCATGCCCACAGCGAGTTGAAAAATAATGTGAAACCGCAACCAGCTGCCTGTACGTGTTCGTACATATGATCTTCACCATCGGATGAGTGGGTTCAACTTCTTAAAAGTGCAAATGGTTGTGTACTGCACACTAGGGGTAGTGACAACACTGAAAGAGCACAGACACATGCGCCTAAACAAAAAGAAGTCAATTCTGTCCCGCGCTGCGGCTCGAGCTGTCAGACAGACGCGTTTGAAATTCGCGCCTGGAAACTGGCACTTCCGCATACGAGCAACCTCGTTCTGACGCAGCTCGAGCGAGTGGACTATCAAAGTTCTGTACATATCACCTACTATACGTACGGATCCACTGGATGCTTACTAGAACTGCGTACTTTCAGTTACACTGTTGAACACTGAAAGATGGGAGTTACACAACAGGTGCGTCTATTTCTTATGTAGCCTATACTAAATTATCCATTTGGTAATTGTGAATTATAGTTTAATATCGAAAGTAGGAGTTCCACTTCAGATGGATCTCATGTAAATTTTAATCGTTTGGATTAAATCGATTCTTACGTTTGCCTCAAGCCATCATAAGTGAAATAGACCTGATTGATATCAAACTTAAACCATTGCTTGCATTGTAGACAGATTTAATCTGGTAGGGTGCGTTGTCACTGGTGATTACAGGGCTGTTAAACATATTAGATACTGGGCGGATACAGCTTTTTGAGGAAGGGGGGGTGCACACTATTGAGAAAAGGGAAAGTGCACACTTCATTTTCGTACGAGTTTCAATGGTCATTTAATAAACTTTCAAGACAAAAGGGGGGGGGGGGTGCGCACCCCTGCGCGCGCACGCACACACACACACACACACACACACACTCTCTGGATCCGCCTATGAGTTATATGAGATAAACTGATAGAATGTCCACTGTTCTGCTTCTAACTAATTTACTTGTCTTCCAACTTGTTAGGTCGATGGAGAATCCCTGTCCCAATACGCCTTAAGAATGTTGTTTAATACTCGTCTGGCTGGTTTTGCAGTCAGTCGAGTTGTATTTTTTATGTTTATGTTCACGGGTTTACACAGGCGTATCTAATTTTGAAAGAAGACTCCTAGTCTGTCTCACAGTCCCTGAACAGCATTATTTTCCCTAGCAATGCTTCGACCACCAACCCCGTTTTGTGCGGACACATCGTCATCCATTTGTGTCAATATCGTTTAGTTGAGAGTCAAAATCGGGTTTCAATCGACTTGCAGAAATAACGATAAAGAACTGGTAGGTGCCATAGTGGTGATCGATAGGCCAATCACCCATGATTATGTTTACATTAAGTTTTAATCGATTGTATGCGATGGTAGGGTAGCGATCGGCAAAGCAGGCGGGTGGGGTACACCGAAGTGTCCGGCCTTGTCATAATGTATTGTACTGTGAAGCATTTCGAGTCGGGGGTCATCTCAAACTTTTCATACTGTTCTTAACATCATTAATCCTCGCCAAGACTCGAGGGCCTGTGGTTCAGGCTCCCTTCTCAATGTTGCTCCTTTTCAATTTAAATGGGACCATTTGTTTCTATCAAAATTATATATCTTTTGAGACCAAGCGTTAGTCTAGAAGCCCCAACGACGACAGTTTTTGCTATTCTATCTATAGCAACATGTCATGTAGTTGGGATTTCACAGCCCAATACATGATCTTATGCAAGCCTACTAACATCTTATAAAGGCAACGATTTTAAAATAGGAAGAATAATCCAAATATTCTTTTCACTCACAGAGAGAACGAGCTTTTTCACTCGGGGCTGATAATTCGCACTTTAATGTCTAGTGTCACTCGCAGGTCACAGCACAGTACACCTGTAAAATTATGCTGAAATTCTAAAGGCTTGCTTTAGGCTTGGCTGATTTCATTGCTTGTGCGCTTATTTACAAACTAGAGACAAGATTACACAATGCCATTTAGAAAGTGGTCAAATGTAACATATGTTATATTTGGGATTACACTTTCTTAGTAAAGTACAGATTCTAGTAGCTCAAAGGCGGGTTCACTTCTTGTGCTGGCGATTAGGTGCCTGACTCTGAGGGTGTGGGTTAGAATCCCGGATGGGACTCAACCCAGAAAGTACTAGAATTTTTTCCTTACTAAGAAAGTGTAATCCCAAATATAACATATGTTAAACTAGAGACAAGTCTGACCACGTCATATGCAAATTTGCGCGTGGCAGCCTATGTCATCCAATCATCACTACGGCGTCGAGAGTGAGGTGCAATGAGTTCAGATAAATGCTGGGACTACCATATAAATGCTGGGAATACTATATCAAAGCCGTGTGCGAAATACGCATGATGTCTGAAAGCGCACATTAAATCTCCAAATCATCATCATCATCATCATCATCATCATCACAAATAGGTTTCAAATAGTGTACAAATGTTGGAAATTGAACCCAGACCTTCGTCTTTACGGAGGGACGCCGTAACCACTAGGCTACCCAAACGCCCCACGCAGCAATCACTAAACTGCCCATATGCAAATATATACTCTCCCCTAAAAAAAGAAACGCATCATGAAAATCGCAATTTCATGTAGCAATGAATTAAAACGTGATTCATTTTACAAAATGTTTTGCTCTGTTTATGAGTCCTATGGTGTTTATGTTTTGAAACATCACAACAAAACGCACCATCCGTAAAATACCCGTATTTAACAGCATGATTTTCAATTTCGGCGTGTAGTGTCACAGAATACACAATTCACATGCAATGCACGTGAAAGTTGGGGATCAGATAGACTCAATGATGGGTATAAAAGGTTGATCGCTGTCTGTCGATTATTCACTGTATTTGGAATATTGTTGACGAACGCAAAATGCCACGTCTAAGTGAAGCCAACTGTCATATCGCCATTGGTTTGCTTGAAGCTGACCAGTCTCAACGTGCAGTTGCCCGACGCATAAATGTTCACCAAAGCACCATTTCACGGCTCTGGGAGAGATATCGCCGGCAGAATGCGGTAGCAGATGCCCCTCGTAATGGGCGACCTCGAGCGACCACTGCGGCGCAGGATCGCTACATCCGGGTACATCACCTGCGTCATCGAACAGCTACGGCGACCAGTACCGCTCGACAAATACCCGGATTGAGGAGGCTTTCTGCACAGACCGCCAGGAACAGGTTGAGAGAGGCTGGTTTACGTGCCAGAAGACCTTATTTTGGCCCTGTGCTTCGACAACAACATCGTCGACATCGAGTTCAATGGTGCACCAACGTTCAGGCCTGGAACCTACCGAATTGGCGTAGAATCTGGTTCAGTGATGAATCACGATTTCTATTGGAACGACACGATGGAAGAATGCGGGTGTACAGACGTCGACGTGAACGTTTCGCCGACGCTTGCGTTCCCCAGGTGGACAGATTCGGCCGGGGCAGTGTTATGACGTGGGGAGCGATCACCTGCCGTAGGAGAAGTGATTTGGAGATGATCCAGGGCAACCTGACAGCTCAACGGTACTGTGACGAAATCCTACGCCCACACCTCTTTCCAATCATTGATCGCCAGAGGGAGTTGTTTCAACAGGACAATGCCAGGCCCCACACAGAACGTCACACTAGAGACTTCCTCCAGAACCACAACATGTGCATCAATGTGCTCCCCTGGCCCTCAAGATCACCGGACTTAAACCCGATCGAACATCTGTGGGATGCCCTGGACAGACGGGTGCGACACCGTAACCCTCAGCCCCAGACACTTCAGCAACTCGCACAGGCACTACAGGCACAGTGGGCTGCGATTGGGCAACATGAGATTCTGAGACTTATTCGTTCGATGCCGAGGCGATGCCGTGCAGTTCTGGATGCCCAAGGTGGTCTCACGAGGTATTGACTTCAGCGCCACCACACGTCTCCATGTGACATTCAAACTGACTTTCCTCGAGTTGGTGCCAAAGACGGATAAGTCTGCATTCCCAGTGTGCAATTTCGCTATATTTCATAGACTCATAAAGCCTACAAGATGTTTCAAAATAAACATATAAATACAGTTAAAATTCCTATATGCGTTTGTTTTTTGGAGAGTATATATAGGCAGGTAATTAAACTCGATCATTTAAACTCTATGAGTAAGAGGTGGATGATATTTTTGTTGTCTCGTGAACCCGCTTTTATATCATCGAGTGACCTGGTTACGTTGATATTTTAGTAACTATTCTCACAATACAAGAGAAGAGATAAAAAAGAAACAAATGTTCTCTTCATTATGAATTCTTTTTACAACATTAGAACCAAAGCATCTCCTCTCCCAAACAGATGGACAGTACTTCCTGTATAGAATATGATTTTATATAACTTATACTTTTGCAGATAAATACGGTATTTATGCAAACACAATAATGACATACACATGATGGAACTTCTTCTAAGGATATTAGCTGATATTGACCTTCGTTAGAACGTATAAGTTGGTTCAACGTGTTTAAGTTAACATCTATTATTCATTCGAATATTTGAACCTTGTTTCCAGATATCCTCACACGAAATGAGCAGAGTGATGAAGAGTGCTGTAAAGGGGGTATTGTGCACAGTAATTTACAATATGGATCCACAAGTCATGCTCCCAATGATTTGCGAGACTGGAATTCTTACTGTGGATGGTAATGATCCGTACTATGTAAGTATACTCTCACCTTTTGATAACATTTACAGCCGTCTCTGAATTGAGCTTGTAGGCTAGAACCTAGCCTTGTTCCAAGGCTGTTCTGAGGGCTAAGACACTGTATAGTAATTCTATCCTTAAATTAAATAGGCCAGCCATTACCACTGGGGAGTAGGCCTACAGGACGTTAAACACCAAACACACAAAACAACAGCACCTTAACTGACTGACTGAGTTTAGTTTTCGCCGCTTTTAGCAATATTCCAGCAATATCACGGCGGGGGACACCAGAAATGGGCTTATCAGCACCTTAACATTCGTAGTGTCCAATTAATCATTTGCTGTCTCTCCAACACTAGAGCTTGCCTAAACCCACGCTAACCCCTGCATCCATTTCCTGTGGTTACCCGCCCTTATAAGTACGTTTGCTGCAACCGTCAAGATCCCGGTTAGAAATTGATCTTCAGTAACCCATGCCTGTCGTAAAATACGACTTACGGGATCGGGTGGTCAGGCTCGGTGACTTGGTTGACACATGTTATCGTGTCCCAACTGTGTATAGATCGATGCTCATGCTGTTGATCACCGGTTTGTCTGGTCCAGACTCAATTATTTCAAGACCGCCGCCATATAGCTGGAATATTGCTGAATAAACTACCAACCAACCGTTTACTGCAAAATCGTACCAATGAAATGGCAAATAATATACATTCGAAAGCAAGAAATCGTCTTAAATGGCATGAAAGTTAGTCATTTTTCCACATACCAAATCATCTCTATAATTAGACATTGGCATGGGAGACATACACACATGCTTTCCGTGGGGATGCATTTGTTGGTTTTAATTAAATCGCCAAAGACCGAGTTGTTGTGCCCAAGTATACAAAACTAGGTCGTCAGTGCTTGGCTTTACTGCATGATGTGTTTTAAGCTTTAAACGTTATACCCCACTGAAACCTGAAGTAACAAATATAATCATATTTCATGTGTGAATGCCATGACATCGTAGAGATGATTGAAGACATGTTATGATTCTGATTTCATTGTCTATTGAAGGGAAAATTAAATAATATGATTCGACATGGGAGAGAGGATAATTCGGTCATAAACCACACCCTGCTTGACTATCTGTTCACTCGACACAAGTGGTGGATTGTTTTCATCACTGTCTGTCAACAGTGTGGATACCATGGAGTCATCGAGGCAATTGAAGGTATTACACATGGCAAATATACAGGTTATCCCCCGATGACTGATCCATTGTCAAGAGCCTGAGTCCTTTCGCAGACCAGACATTGTATTTAGTGAGGTAGCATCTTATAGACTGACATGCATGTATGTTTACAGGCGATGAAGTTTTCGATGAATTGCATCAAAATTCATAGTTTCAATGTTCTTTCTTAGTTTTCATGAAATGTCTGAATTTTATATATATTAAGACTTCAAAAGTCCCAACATAGAACTAATCAGTAATTATAATATAGAAATCCATGCAGCTGGAACTAACCAGTAATTAGAATATAAAGATTCACGTAGCTGGCAGTTCCTTTAATCCCTGCTTTAATGAAGCGGCGTACCTTCAAAGATACCTGCACATAACCATACACAGGTTCAAATTCAGTCGTTTGGTGTATATTCTGGTCTTTAAAGTTGTTTGTTCTAATTCCATACTTCAGGAAAGTTGACAACAACTGAGAAATCTGAATTACACCGGCAAATACAACGCAGTACAAGACAGCCCAGTATTGAGGGAAGAGCAGAGAGACACAGCCTGTCACATTCACACAGACCACCAGGTGTCCGGCAACATTCCTGTGAGCTAAGCCTCGTTCCTCCAACCATGGCCACGCCACCAAGTCAAAGAACAGATCCTGCACAGGGAAACATACCATGGGGCAGTGGTCAATGGGACACAAGAAACCAGAGCAAGCCCAGCAACACTGGTCGATCTCCTGGTCAGGAGTAGTTTCAATATATTTTTAATGTATTTTGTGTAAACTAATTTTATAAAAAGTTGAATATTGTTTCCTGAAAAGGCAGTCTTTAGTGTAGATAATCAAAATGTTGATATGAGATCACTAGGGCAAACAAATGAGACCACGTTTTTCTGTAAGTTTGAAGGGTCGATGTCATTCTCAGTAATGTATGTATACTTCAAATGAAAAAGGCCAGGTGGTCTAAATCAGTTAACTGAACCATTATTGTCATACACGACTTCTGTGCTCAAATATTTCAGTCCAGTAACTCACAGTATAAAACTGATTGCGGTGTAAATGAACAATCATTTCATTTGAATTCCTTAATTTCTGAAGTATTTATGCAGTTATAGCAGCTATCACTCACTCGATTTGTTTCAGGACCGTTGAACGAACTCCCTCCGCCACACATGCAAACTCATATTCGTTCATCGCAGAGCAGTCGCGACAGAAAGCCTGAAGGACCACAGGGCTTGTCACTTTCCGACAGCAGACGACAATTTGAGAAACGTTCGTCTGATTCAAACGTATTGGATGAAACATTAGCAAAGGCCTCGACCCGAACAACAGATCCTACACCGGGTAACATACAGTTGAAAGGTGGTCAAATGGACGTAGAGTACCAGAACACAGAGATGAACAGTAACATTGGACGATCTCCTGGTCAGTAACACATTTTATACGACTGCTGAACAACCTGCCTATTCACGAATACCTCAATGGTTTTACATGTGTTTTCTTGAAAAGACACATTTAACACATTTAAAACCCTGAAATTTCAATTAAGGTATTGTATGAAAAAGTTAGTTGAACAATTACTTGGTAACAATTACATGCAATTACAATTAGTGTAAAGTGAATGAATATTTCATTTCCAATCCAGGAGGCCTGATTGATGACGAGAAGAAAATCAATATCACAAAGGAATATATCCATTTTGCTCCAAAGACCGAAGGAACAGATACAAACAACCTGTCTGAAAATGCACCCTACAATTCTAAAGAGGTCAAAACAAATGTGGGAACAGTCAGTAACATCGGTTTGAATATTCCAGTTCCGGATAAAAATGCAGTAGGTTCGAATTTGACAGGTGACGAATCAAACATGGTCAAAGTCAGAAATATCTTGTCACTTGAGAATCCCAAGATCCAAAACCAGAGAGAAGATGACATGGATACTAGTGTCGTCACCGATGATGTAACAAACAAATGGATATACCCCAATATTCGCTATGACAACGGTGAAGGAAGAGATGATGACAATGGGAAGCAGGACTCTCCTGCTATGGATGGATCCGACACAGTACCTTATGTTAGTAGCTTAATCATTCAGACACAGCTTGGCCAGCAAAGAAAGCGTCATGGTACAGCATTTGATCAAGAACAGGTCATTGTTGAATATGAGAGCAGAGAAAAAGAAAGCTTGGAAGCTGATCCGCCAGAGAAGGAACACCGACATGATGTTGAAGGTCGATATCATAATTCCGAGGAAACGTATCGTAAAGAGAGTCAAAGTGTGAACAGCCAACATACAAATACACGATGTGACCACCAGCCCAAGGTGATGAATACCGAGAGACCCAACCCAGAATTCTCCGCATCAGCTGAAACACGGGCAGACAGTGATGTCCCCTGTGTATCCGGCCCTGACCACGTGTCTGAAAACGCTTACCTGGTTGGTAATATTCCCAATTTTGGATTGCTGGGTGATGCCGCCTTCGAAACGACAATACAAGGTGGTGATATCTCAGCTGATTGGATTGAAGAGGAAACTTCACAGAATGCCGTTTCTGACAGTCCGGGAGATGACGCATTGCCCACCGTTGATAATGGTTCGAATCCGACAAACCCAACCAAAGTGATGTCTGAGAAGAGAAGGTCCTCTGCCAACACCGACAAAGTAACTTCAAATGCACTGCAACAGGCTTGCTCGCCTCTACGTGAAACTTCCGGTGGGAGTGTATACCTTTCTCCATACTACAGTCCCCGATCTAGCTATCCGCAAGCAGCAGACTATACTCACATTCCACCTCCAGCCCACATTTTGTCACTGTCTGACACATCTGAACCTTCCCCTATCCATGAGAAATTAGCTAAGAGGGCACTTAAACAAAAGACCGAAGGAGCAAGTACAGTGAAACCCCGTTAATCCACAGCCTGCTATTTTGCAAACATTTTCATCAGTTTAATGATGGGGCCCCTGAAGGTCCGGGTTACAATTGATCTTCAGTAACCCATGCTTGTCGAAACTGGCGACTAACGGGATCGAGTGTTCAGTCTCGCTGACTTGGCTGACGTATGTCATCGTATACAAATTACGTAGATGCTCATGCCGTTGATCACTGGATTGTCTGATTTGACTCGATTATTTACAGACCACCGCCATATAGCTTGAATATTGCTGAGTGTGGCGTAAAACCAAACTCACTCACTGTTTAATAATGGACGTTCACATGTATATATCTGCATGGGGTCAGAACAGAGATTCCGGTGGCAGTATGTCGTCGGCAACCTATACTAGTGATATTACATCGTCTGGATTACATTGTATGGGTTAACGACGTGATCATTACATGTCATTGTACCCTCGATAGTGTGGGACGTTGCACACTATATCAATCAGTTGACTGTGTGGTCCAGATACGATCATTATCACCGGCATATACCTGGAATATTGCCCAGTTTGGGTTAACCCAACAAAGCCCCTACAATCCTGAGACTTTGTGGGATACATAGCATGTATGCAGATTGGACACGAAACACGGCGTCAGAATATGGAGCTTTCTTATGACTGTTGTGTCCATACAACACGGAGGCAAAATATAAATAATCACACTGACGAACCTTGTGTCCATAATCACACTGACGAACCTTGTGTACATAATCACACAGACGAACCTTGTGTTAAATAAGACATTGACGAACCTTGTGTGCATAATCACACTGACGAACCTTGTGTACATAATCACACTGACGAACCTTGTGTACATAATCACACTGACGAACCTTGTGTACATAATCACACTGACGAACCTTGTATTAAATAAGACACTGACAAACCTTGTGTGAACCATCACACTGACGAACCTTGTGTGCATAATCACACTGACGAACCTTGTGTACATAATCACACTGACGAACCTTGTGTACATAATCACACTGACGAACCTTGTGTACATAATCACACTGACGAACCTTGTGTACATAATCACACTGACGAACCTTGTGTACATAATCACACTGACGAACCTTGTGTACATAATCACACTGACGAACCTTGTATTAAATAAGACACTGACAAACCTTGTGTGAACCATCACACTGACGAACCTTGTGTACATAATCACACTGACGAACCTTGTGTACATAATCACACTGACGAACCTTGTGTACATAATCACACTGACGAACCTTGTATTAAATAAGACACTGACAAACCTTGTGTGAACCATCACACTGACGAACCTTGTGTACATAATCACACTGACGAACCTTGTGTACATAATCACACAGACGAACCTTGTGTTAAATAGGACACTGACGAACCTTGTGTGCATAATCACACTGACGAACCTTGTATTCAGCATCAGTTGGTGGATTAAGGCATTAACAAGGTGTTAGGAGCAATTTCTATCTTATTGACCTTTCCCCTGATTTTGTTGATATAGCATTTTAATGAACTACGTAACTGGCTTGCTCACGAACACAAACGTGTAGATAGCTAAATAATCAGCTTTATCCTTCAAATAAGTGTATAAAACATGAGCATTCTGTTATAAATGACACTGGGTTGCTTCGGATACTGTAACTTTAGACAGTGGAAGGAAAACAGTAAATACAAGCATTCCATCCTGAACTATTAGGGGTTTAAGTAATAAAGTCGTTTTGACATGAACACGTACTTAAAAATCCTTATTATAATGGACCATTGTTGCACCCCGTATACAACCTGATATTAAAGGTGGGTTGGCATGGTGTTGATGGCGGATACAAGGTGATAGCACTTACACAGCGGCGGGCATGGAGGTGTACGCGTATGGCTTCTTTAGTGTGTCCGGATTTGCAGAACAGAACGGCGGTACCGCGACGATAAACCCATGAAGATTCGAACCTTCAGGTGCGATCATATAGTGGAAAAAAACAAGTTACCGTTTGTCAGCACTGATGGTGTTTGATGAGATGTTTACAGGAACCGAAAGAAAATGTGATGGGCAACCGGAGCCTACTTGTTCAAAACAATCCTGGCGTTAAGACTATTATATATCTATGTTCAGTGAGTGAGTTGAGTTTGACGCCGCTTTTAGAAATATTCCAGTAACATTCCGGAGCGGGGACACCAGAAGTGGGCTTCACACAGTGCACTTAAATGTGGTGAATCGAGCGGGACAAGAGAAAGTCCAGACCAGACCTTAATTTTTAATGTTGAGTATTTACTCCAGGCACAAGAAATGTCAAACGGGAACCTTTGTTTGGTAATCTGAGTGGTGTTACCACTAATTATACCTGTTATAATTTATTAACTGACCATCAAGTGAATGATGGCACATAACGGTTACAGCAAGGGAGTAGTATTCGCTGTATTGCATGCAATTTTAATTGCCTGAAAAACCTTATGGGCCGATACTGTTTTGAGGATACGAACGGAACTTGTGTTTTTAATATCATAGGTAAACGACATCATGTTTTTAATGGCATGATTACATATCGAGGTAAAAAACACAGAAATAGGATCAAATTTGATCAGTCATTATACCATCCAGACATTAGAAAATCTGGAAAATAACTACACTGCTGGGATACTTTATTACAGTCAGACAAGAATTACCAGGAATTTTTTTCAAATAAGGGCATCTTCATCTTTATCCACCCTTCCTAATGTCCCACTGTTTGGTTGAAGAAATGCTGCCAAGGTGGACAGCAGCCCAGTCCCCGTGTCTGTTAGCTTGCAGCTCGGTTTCGTACTTTCACTGTTGGCGTGAAACATTAATCACTCTGGATCAGTGCCCTTTTTAGTATGCACAGACAGAGTTGAAATTAATTGTGACCCTGAATGATCATCCAAGAAGGAAGGAGCAAAGAATAAATTTTAGACGTAATCTCCAGACATATCAACTGACAACACATGAACCACACATATCGTAGAGCTGATTACAAATCTTAAATTCCAACCTTCTGCTACGTTCTCGTTTTCCCAGGCAGACTATATAAGGGGGAGTGGTCACTCCTCGGAAAGACCCTAAGCTATGCCTGGCTCGTCACGTGACCAGTGTAGCCAATGTGGCGGCAGCGTAGTTTTTAAGATTGAGCCCGGTTTATTTTCAACAGCTGATTACATACGCTGAGTGTTGTGACAACTGAAAACCTACATGTAGAAGATAAGTTACCTATTCTGTCACTTCATTTTGAGTCAAATAATTGTTATTAGTGTCAGTATTAGTACATTAGATTTGTAGTAAAGTTTCAAGTCGGTATGTTGTAGCTCGCTGGCTTCAATTCTCAGTACACAGCGAAGAAAGACTAAATTCTATCGCTTAAAACTTCTTTCACATATTCGTTTAATTTTTAGAAGGGAAATATACCTTTAGTTGAAAGGTGTCTGCAAGTAATAGTGATAGTTCTATAACTACTTTTTTTTTGTTAGGGTGTATTTGAGGTGTGTGAAAAATAAGACATATCGCCGATCTGCCATTGAAATACTACAGGGCGTTGTTTGAGTGTTTCTAGTTATTGTTCTAAAACATCTTTCACATGCACCTTTAATTTTTATGAGGGGAATATACCATCAGGTGAAAGGTGTTTACAAGTAATAGTGATAGTTTTATAATTCAATTTTTTTTTGTTAGGGTGTATTTGAGGTGTGAAAAATATGACATATCGCCGATCTGCCATTGAAATACTACAGGGCGTTGTTTGAGTGTTTCTAGTTATTGTTCTAAAACATCTTTCACATGCACCTTTAATTTTTATGAGGGGAATATACCATCAGGTGAAAGGTTTTTGCAAGTAATAGTGTTAGTTTTATAAAAAAAAAAATTTTGTTAGGGTGTATTTGAGGTGTGTGAAAAATATGACATATCGCCGATCTGTTCCGATACGCCATTGATGCTTGTGATGCTTGAGTGTTATAGTTCTAAAACTTCTTTCTTTCTTGTTGATCTTAGTATTTGACAAAACTGGAAAGGTCTTTACAACGCTTTGTGATAGTTCTAAACTTTCTGTTTTTGAGGGGTCTGTGACAGTGTCAGTTAACATTCTGTCAATGCCCATGTCATTCCACACATGCAATAAGATATCTGAATTAGTTACTAATGTAAAAAAATGTCTCAAAGTAGATTTTTTTTTAAAAAGGACAGCTGATGTTAACACCTGTGTTCTACCGATAGTTTTGCGTTCTTTAACACGTTTGGGGAGGGGTGGCCGTGGTGTATCATTTATTCTTTCATTCATTCACATATGTTCTTTTTCTTTTGTTCTATTTCTTTTGCTCTTTTTCTTTATTTCTTTCATTAATTCACATATAATTCTTGCTCTTAAATCATTCATTCATTCATTGTAAAATTCCGACTGATACGGCACCCGTGAAGAGCGACCTCCTCTTGGTGGGTGCTGGGTAACGCCAAGAGCTCTTCGACCCCCCGTTGTTGACCCGGGGGTATGTTTGGTCCACCAACCTGTTGGCCGTGGGTTGCGCCCCTGTGTCGGTGGAGGAAGGGATTCTGGTGGTTGAGGGCACTGGTTCCAGGAACAGTGTTCCTTTGCCCAACACACCACTTCGGCCCTGACTTCACCTAGACGGGTGGTTGAATGGGCCCGGTTCAACCAATCGGCTGGTCATGTCGAGCCCTGTGCATTCTTTGTATTTACACAAATTCTATTTTGAACTGTATTTATTGACTTTAGGTCTCGGCTCTTTTTGTCTATAATACATTACTTGATTTTGACCTATGACTTAACTTCTTTGCCTAGAGTCTTATGCCCAGAAGGCTGTGGCTCATGGGCCAATCTGGTAGGATTTATCTTTTAAAGATACTTTCTGCTTAAGTATACCCTCCTAGTATCCTTGGTGCCGTCTGCAGGAGACCCACAGACATGAGGCATCGTCCTTGTTGACACTCCGTGGTGGGTGGGGAGCTAGGAGGGTGAACCTAATTCCATACAATCATGGCACCCCCACTTAAAAACCGATCTCATGAATCGGATGATTCGTGTTCTTCGGAGGATGAGGCTACTGTAGTCCTTGCAAACGCTGACAACTGGCCTCGTTTCATTGTGATGTCAGCACCGGATGGTGGCCCTTTGAAATTAAATCCTTTTGCTGTAGCGAAAGGCATTGAAGGTTTGGCAGGTGATGTTAAGGAAATTAAAAACTACGATCTGGCTCACTGCTAATTGAGTGTCGGAAACTGATACAGTCTCAGATTCTGCTCTCAAACAAATCATTAGCTAATGTTCCTGTGGAGGTGTCCCCTCACAGGACACTAAACAGCAGTAAAGGCATTGCCCGTGATATTGGACGGTGCCTTTCGGACATGAGTGAACATGACATTGTCAAAGAACTACATTCTCAAGGCGTTACTCATGTTAAACGCTTCACTGCAAAAAGGAACAATGAAACCTTCAATACTAATACCTATTTATTCACTTTTTGTCTGCCAGTACACCCAAGCTCACTGAAAGCGGGATACTGCAACTTACGGGTAGATACTTTTATCCCTAATCCCCTAAGGTGCTACATCTGTCAAAAATATGGCCATGGGTCAAAGGCTTGCCATAATACAGCTGCATGCCAACGATGTGCTGGGACATGTGCAGACAGCAATCTCTGTGACAAGCCTCCTGTTTGCGTTAACTGTTCTGGTAGCCACCCGTCATCATCTAAGGAATGCCCTACCTGGAAATTGCAATCCAGAATTTCGAAGGTGAAACATGAACAGAATATTTCATTCTCAGAAGCAAAAAAGACTGTTCTTGCACAAGAACAGTTGGGTCCGTATCAGCTTCTATTCTGGCCTCCAAACCAAAACATGTTTCCTGTTCTTCAATCGGTTGCCAGACGGATTACACGTGGGCTAGGACTTCTGCCCCTACCCTACTGTCTGCAGAGATCCAGGCGAAGCCTTCACAAGTCACCTCCGCTTCACAAACTGTGTCTTCATCCAAAAGTGTCATGCAATCTAAGACACCTTCCGAGAAGGATACATCTGCTTCTCAGAAACAACCAAATATATCAGACACAAATGTGAAACAAAATGTTAAAAAAATTATCCAAATCTAACAATGGCACATCCAAAACGTATCCAAATAACAGACCCCCAAAGGGGTCGGACAATCAGGTCCAGCTTTTTAACAAGTTTGGATCTCTTGAGGACATGGATGTGTCTGACCATAGCCATGGTAGGACACATAGCTTGTCACCCTCAAGGAAGGTGAGGGGTAGATCTCCTGTTCATCCGCCTAAGAAATGATGTCTTCACCCATAATTCAATGGAATTGTAGAGGAATTAGGACTAATTTAAATGATTTACAGTTATTAGTCCAAGATTTAAATCCGTCAGCAAGAAACTTATTTGAAACAGACAGATACATTTGACCTCCGTCAGTTTAATGCGTATCACTATTTTTCTCCTCCTGGTGATAGAGTTTCTGGTGGAGCATCTATTCTGGGCATGAGGAACAATGTTATCCATAGCCCAGTTCCGCTTAAAACAAATTGCAAGTCGTTGCAATTCGGCTTACATTACAGGTTGCTTTTACTTTGTGCTCTCTGTACATCCCACCTTAATCGGGTGTTCAACTAACTGAGCTGCAAGCTCTCTATGATCAATTACATAAACCCTGTTTAATCATGGGGGATTTAAATGGCCACAACCCACTCTGGGGTGGTACTAATACAAACACCAAAGGTAAATTATTGGAGGATTTCATTTCAAATAATGACATGCATTTATAATGACGGTGACAATACTTATTTACATCCTGGCACAGAAACATATTCAGCTCTTGATTTGTGTATTACGGTCTCTAACCTTTTGAGTGAATTTGAATGGTCAGTCCACGACGACCTTTGTGGAAGTGACCATTTCCCAACAATACTAAAACCCGTGAATCCATCTGACGTTCCTCCATTATCAAGATGGAATTTTAAAAAAGGCTAACTGGCCTTTATATGAAATTCTGTGTGCCGATGCCATAAAATGTTTTTCAGATAACCTAAATGACATAGCTGACGAGTGTATCCCAAAGTCCTCTTCAATTCCTCACATACGAAAACCATGGTTTACAGATGAATGCAAACAGGCTAGAAAGGCACGGAAGAAAGCTGAACATTACTTCCGTCGCCATCCTATGGTCCACAATTTAGACAAATTTAAAATTGTTAACGCTAAATAACGGCGTACTCTCAAGCATAGTAAACGCCAATCTTGGCGAAACTATGTCTCAAGAATCAATTCGCGCACACCTATATCAAAGGTGTGGAATATGATCCAGAAAATCAAGGGTAAGGGCTCTAAATCTAGCATTCACCATCTCAAAGATGGGAATCAGTTATTCACTGATAAATCAGATATTGCAAATAAATTTGGTGAGACGTTGGCCAAACATTCTTCCTCATCTAATTATGTACCTGAATTCCAAAAATATCAAAAACAGCAAGAAATCTCTTAATTTCAATTCAGACAATGGGGAAGACTACAATGAAACCTTTTCGATACATGAGCTACATACTGCTCTTGATCAGGCTCATGATACTGCTTCAGGGGCTGATAACATACATTATCAACTCCTGAAGCACTTACCTGAATCATGTTTAGAGACGCTCTTACATATTTTTGATGACATTTGGACATCTGGAAATTTTCCTTCGTCGTGGCGGGATGCTATTATTGTTCCAATACCTAAACCTGGACGTGATCATACTGATCCTTCCAATTATAGACCAATTTCCCTGACTAGCTGCGTTTGCAAAACCATTGAACGTATGATCAACAATCGACTTGTTTGGTACTTGGAAACCAATAACCTTATAACTAATATACAATGTGGTTTCCGTAAAAACCGTAGTACCATCGATCATTTAGTACGTTTAGAGTCTTTTGTGAAAAATGTCATAATTAATAAACAACATGCAGTGGCGATATTTTTCGATTTAGAAAAAGCATACGACACATGGAAACATGGGATTTTAAAAGATTTACATGACTTTGGATTACGAGGCCGTTTGCCTCAATTTATATCCAACTTTTTAAATGACAGGCAATTTCAAGTCCGAGTGGGTTCAACCCTGTCTGACCATTACAATCAGGATCAGGGTGTTCCACAAGGCAGTATTTTGTCTGTCACATTGTTTAGTATCAAGATAAACAGTTTATCAAAGGTTTTAAAGGATTCAATTGATGGATCACTTTTTGTGGATGATTTTAATATTTCTTGTCGTGGTAAAAATATGCATACCATTGAACGGCAATTGCAGTTGTGTTTAAATAAAATAAATAAATGGTGTCTTGAAAACGGCTTTAAATTAATTGTCTACACTTTTGTAGAAAATATAAGCCGCATAAAGACTCAGAACTATCTTTAAATGGCACTCCCATCAAAGTCGTTAAGGAGGCCAAATTCTTGGGTCTAATTTTCGACTCCCATTTAACTTTTTTGCCACATATTAAATCACTTAAAGCCAAATGCCTGAAGGCACTCGATTTGTTGAAAGTTGTTTCTAACTCAAAGTGGGGAGGGGATCAAGCTATCCTCCTCCACCTATATCGATCATTGATCCGCTCGAAACTTGATTATGGCTCCATCGTATATGGTGGAGCTTGCAAAAGCAACCTAAAACTACTTGATTCTGTCCACCACCAAGGCCTAAGACTTTGTCTTGGGTCCTTTAGAACCTCTCCTATTGATAGTCTATATGTTGAAGCAGATGAGCCCTCTCTAACACAACGTCGTATAAAATTATCTTTACAATACATTACTAAACTATATTCTAGCGAGTCTAACCCTGCATTTCACTGTATCTTTAATCCCCTCTACGGGGATTTATACAACAAAAAACCTTCTCTTGTTCCGCCTCTTGGGCACAGAATTAAGCCCTTCATTTCTGCTGCCGGCATTGAGCTGGAAAATATAGCTCCTTCACGTCTTCTTTCTTCTCCTCCTTGGCAACTGGTGAGGCCTGAAGCTGACCTAACTCTGACAAAGTTTAAGAAATCTGTAACTAATGAATTACAATATAAACAAGAATATAATCAATTAAAAATAAATATAATACTTACAAATCCTTATTTACAGATGGGTCCAAGGATGGTGGCGCGGTGGCATGTGCCACTGTCATTGGATCCCGAACAATATCTTCTCGACTACCAAATAACAGCTCTATTTTCACAGCAGAAGCTAACGCCATATTAACAGCTCTTAAATATATTCAAAGACATCCCAAACATAAACAATATATAATATTTTCAGACTCTCTTTCCTGTCTTCGGGCTATTAAAAACTTATCCTGTAAACATCCACTTTTAATAGAAATTATTGAGTTATATAATGAACTTGCTACTGGCCAATGCGACATCGTTTTTTGTTGGTTACCAAGCCACATTGGCATTTCTGGGAACACAATGGCTGATCTTGCTGCTAAGGCAGCACTCAACAAATCTGTGACACCACTTCTTATCCCATACTCTGATTACAAAGCTAGCATTAGAACCTACATCCTTGATCTGATGCAGAAGAAGTGGGACACCCAAGTAAGTATCAATAAAGTACATGAATTAAAACCCTACATTGGTTACACCTACTTGGGTTGTCAGTCCAGATTTGAAGAGGTCATTATGCGACGATGTCGCATTGGCCACACTAGATATACTCACGAATATTTACTGAAAGGCGAAGATCCTCCGTTTTGCATCCCTTGTGATGAAAGAATCACAGTCAAGCATGTCCTGCTTGACTGTGTTGAATATTCAATCACAAGGGATAAGTATTTTAATGTCAAAACATTGAAGGATCTTTTTTATAATGTTAATTATCATTTAATAGTTGAATTTTTAAAAGAATTAGATTTGTTGACTGATTTGTAAATAGCTAAATATTTTATGATTGAAAGTTTGAATTGGTAACACAGATTGTTAGTGGCTGTATCCTCGAGGGGGGTTAAAGTACTGTAAAATTATTGTCCTCCTGAGAGGGTATGTAAGTCCCAAAACATTCAAAGTAAATTTCAACTTTCCGTTTTTTAATCGTAATGTGTAATTTTAATGTATGGCTAGATATATCTCAATTGCTAACAGCTGAGGGGATGATGTAAATCCAGCTAGGGTCCACGCAGGTAGCAAAGGTACTGTAAGTCCACATGGACCCTAGTATGGTGATCTATCCTCAGTTGTTGGTGATCTATTGCCTATTTTTATATTGTGTTGTCCCCTATAGTTAACATGTTTTAAATTTAATTACTAGTTTTACATTTATATCTGTGATATTCTAGTTGTTTTTACTGTCCTTCGTCGACAGGATTTTATAACGTACATATATTCCATTTCAATGTCAAATGTTCTCATTTCACTTTTTATTGTATAAATAGTTTTCGTCGCGATATGGCTGAAATATTGCCGATGTGACGTTAAATACAAACTCACTCACTCCGACTGATACAATACACTGGCTGAAGTACTGTTAAACGCAGCCGAAGTTGCGCTGGGAACGAACCAAGTCACTGTGTGCGTTGGAGCATGACGAGGCACACGTTAATTAGAACAAATGGTAAAGAAAGCCAGCGAGTGACCTATCCCTGTTGTAGAGTATCCCTGGTTTTCCTAAACAGAAAGCAAGACTGTTACATTGTCACTTCCCTTCAACAAACGATGGTAAGCATTGTCAAAACTCGCCTATTTCCGTAACGACGACTTGTCCGGTAACACTCGGTTTCATTCGTAACTACTCGTGTCATTCCGACGAGCCTGCTTGTAGACCACGGAAAGAGTTTGTTACGAATGACTCGACTTGATCCGGAAAATCAAATGTAGCAGATACCACGTGACGTCTTTCTGTACGTCACAACGGGAGACGGGTCATGGTGACATTGCACACTTAGCGAACCAAATATGTGAAAGTGTCAATTGTAATCATCATACTATACCAATTATATTCAGAGCACGTAACTCGTTAATCAAATTGGTAACGAAGAAAGTTGTCCAGTTATTCATCCTCAAGAATTATCATTCTCTTGAGAGAATGCCTGTTCTATTTATAGTAACTGGGAAAATCCCGTCAGAGCTGTTATCATTTGGAGCCGCCCGCCATCGCCAAGTCGTGAACGAGTCGAGTGACGAGTGGATTTAAGGATCGGTTACGCCAAGGTTAGTTATGTTATAATAACGGATCCTGTGTTATTCTATGAACTATTCACCTGTGCGGTGTTGTCCTTAAACTATGGAAGAACAGGCTAATAGTAACTTTGCTGTCGTAATGAATTACACCACTCCGCGATGTGGCAAATGCTTCAATTTTCATGCATAGACGAGACAACTTCACAAGGGGAAAATACTGCGTTTCTATTCAGCTATGAAGGTAGATATACTGATACTATTTCATTTATCTCCATTATATGCTCTGGTACAACTATATATGCTGCCGGGGAAATAACCCACACGGTAGTCCATCACCACCCCACCTTAACATGAAACATTGTGTAGTAATGACAGGGATCATTGTGCAGTAATGACAAAGATCAGTGTGTAATGAGATGGGTCAGTGTGTAGTAATGGCGTGGATCATTGTGTAGTTATGACATGGATCAGTGTGTAGTAATGACATGGATCAGTGTGTAGTAATGACATGGATCAGTGTGTAGTAATGACATGGGTCAGTGTGTAGTAATGACATGGGTCAGTGTGTAGTAATGACATGGACCATTGTGGAGTAATGACATGGCTCAGTGTGTGGTAATGACATGGACCATTTTGTACTAATGACATGGATGATTGTGTAGTAATGACATGGACCATTTTGTACTAATGACATGGATGATTGATTGGTAATGACATGGATCAGTGTGTAGTAATGACATGGATCAGTGTGTAGTAATGACATGGACCATTTTGTACTAATGACATGGACCATTTTGTACTAATGACATGGATGATTGTGTAGTAATGACATGGACCATTTTGTACTAATGACATGGATGATTGTGTAGTAATAACATGGATCATCGTGTGGTAATGACAGATCATTCTGCAGTAATGATGTGTATCATTGTGCAGTAATGATATGGTTCATTGTGTAATGACAAGGATCATTGTGTAGTAATGACATGGATCATTGTGTGGTCATGACATAGATCATTGTGTTTTTATCTTTGGTAGTCTGAAAGGCCTCACATGGACCATTACATGCAGTAATATTACTGGTTATCACTGTTTTCACAACTTTAGCCTTCATTCATTTACTGAAGAACAACATGAGATGGTAGTGTTGTGTTTCTCAGTATGTTTTACAATTAAATGTTTATTCTCTTCTACAGTGTTTACCTACTCACTAACTAGACAAGAGCAGGTGCCCTGGTGTGAATACAGTCACATACTCACACAAGTATGATATCAGCATGATCTGTTTTAACATGCTTAAGGTGTTGTTGGTAATCTCAGAACACAGATATTGTAGATGTTGTATGTGTCATGGCCACAGAGGTTGTCCAAAGTGTCTTATTTAATTTTCTTTGTTTATAATTTTTTTTTGCATTTTTATCTTTATTTACAGATGCCTTCAAATTTGGAAGAAAAACTGAAGAAAGCAATAAATAAGAACTATGTACAAATAATCAACACACTGGATCCCAAAACGGTGTTGACACATCTGAAGGAGACTGGCATCCTCACAGTTGGGGGTTATGACACATACTATGTAAGTAACCATGGTAACCACCCATCAAGTATAACGCTAAATAGTAGCATCATTAAAATGGAATTTCTATAGGCATTTATAGAACTGAAAGAAAATATGAGTGATGCAGTAAGCATGATTAGAATGAATGATTGTCAACTTCCACTCACAGCAATTTTCAAGCCAATGATTCCTTGAAATGTTTTGTGTCAGTCTAAGTAAACTTAGGCTCAGTATTATTCGTTACACTGCTATACTGAGTCTAACAAAACAACCTAGTAGAATGTCGCGTCAGCTAACCTTTGAGCGACCTATGACTGACCAATCAAACACAAGACGGCCGAACCGATTTAACCAATCAGACAACGACTACTTGTTAAGGTTCGGCGGGACTTACAAAACGTTTTTTGGATTTTCTCTTGCCTGGTCGCTGACACTGATCTATCAACAAACAAAGATCCGCATAAAACACAGATATTTGACCGTGCAGTATATACGCTGATGGGTTTCGAATGACATGGTTACTATTTGCTTATATTTTTGCAAGATGACATCCTTGAATATTGACAAAAACACTATTTTCAGCGATTGTTTGCTCATTGCGCGTATCACTCGGAAGCGATCGTGCGGAAAATAGCATTCAGAATTGTTTGACTTTTTGAGGTAAAGGTTCAAACGGTTTGTACGAATGTTAACTTTCACGATTTGGTCAGACCAAAAGGTTAGCTGACACGACCTTCTACTAGGTTTTATTAGACTCAGTATAGCAGTGTAACGAATAATACTGAGCCTAAGTTTACTGAGACTGTGTTTTGTATTGAGTTGTATGTGTGAATTCTTTAGAATGGTTCACCTACCCTTTTCCCTTCTGTCCCTTAACATGATTACCATATCTGTATCTACATCATTTATTTATCTATTCGGGTGGTGGGGTAGCTGAATGGTTAAAACGTCCACTCATCACGCTGAAGACCCAGGTTCGATTCCCCACATGGGTACAATGTGTGAAGCCCATTCAAAAGGGGTGTAAAACTAAACTCACTCACCACTATTTGTTTATTCAAGGAGGAACTCAACAATATGCTTACTCATGGAAAAACTAAACAAGACATCAACATAAGGTTACTTGACATTCTGTACACACGAGACAAATGGTGGATAGCCTTCTTAAAAGCATTGCATCAGTGTCAGCTTCAAAACATCATTGGCATACTGGAAGGTAATGTATCAATTAATGTTCTTGTGGATATTGTTGTCAATGTATGTACGTACCCATGCCTGCACAAAGTTAAGATGTGCTAGATCGTGGCCCAGTTCTCTGTTGTTCTGAATTTCAAGTGCAGAACCTTAATCATGGAAGCATCCACTGGTTTGAGATGATGATTCAAACTAACTCAGTATTTTTTTTGGCACATGACTGTATCAAATCTGTTTCTTTTCCTTATAAAAGATGTAAGGATTGTGGTTGAAAAGGCTGATAGAAATGACCAACTAATTCTGTGAGATTTTATGAATTGCCTTAAAACTTGACGTTTGTTTTTTAGGAGCTTTGTCAGAAAGAGAGGTGTATCGACTGCATCGAGAAATAGGGGAAGATTGCAGGCCTAGAAACAATGGGAGACCACCTAGATCTGACAGAAGATCGTATATCAGAGACAGACAGCCATCCGACACTGAGTCAGATCTGGGTTCACAAACAGATAATGACAAGTATAATTCCCTTCCTGACTCAAGATCTCAAAGGAAAACTTCCCCTGAAGTAGATCAGGAAGTACCATGGCTGAACTCTCCAAAACGATACCGTTCGGATTGCAATGCAGCTCCAGATGCTATACCACCAAATGAACTCAGTTGGACACAGGAGTCCCATGGTTATGTACCCAATGGGGATCTTCAGCATCCTGAAGAACAGGATGATCCTTCACATCTTCATCTAAGTGAGCCTAGGGCAGCACAGACTCAAACCTCGATGCGTTATGAAAATGGATCTTCCCATAAACGTTCTTTTCACAGTGGACCTACTCAGTCTTATCCCGGATACAGGCCTGCAGTAGGGAAAACAGTATTGGCTCGATCCTCATCTGCACCTTCAGGTCCTCAGCATTCAGATGACTTGTGGCACTCCAGTCCAAGACAGAGCCACAATCCCAGCAATGCATTCCGAGGGAGCAGACAGAGAGGTCAGGGTCAAGTGTCCAGTGGTCAGCTCTCTCCTGCCATCACATCTCCTTCAGCCTTAAGTGACCAAGCCACACGGCAAGACAGAGCAATTGAAGGGGGTCCAAGAACAAGTGGTCCACTGGGTACACAGACTTGTGGTCCTCAGTCAGATAGACCCACCTCTTGCAATGACCACTCATCCTTAGCTCCTTTGTCAAGACAAGAAAAGATTCATGTCAATTTCAACACTCCACTGAGTAACGTACCAATGAAAGTACTCACACTGCTTCACAGACTCGATCATGATCAGAAGTGGAGTGAACTTGGTTGCATCTTAACTGACAGTGAGTATGATATTGTGTCCAGGTATAAACCGTCGTATACCAAAGGGAATTCCTATTATTACCATAAAGAGCCAGTAAGCTTCTACACATCTTGTTTCAGCTTGAAAGCATAAAGAATTTATGAGAAAAATATTGCAAAGAACCTCTGGCAGCATCAGCATGATAAATATGCTTCTTGAATAAAATGATTGTTTTACAGTCATCATCAAAATTATGCAGTTCTAGATAATCGTTCTACTACTAGTTAGGTATTGTTCGTTACCCTTGGTTAGAACAAGTTGCCATGAACCCATGCACATTGCACCTAAAGGATATGGGGTTTAAATGAGAGGTTTGAATTGGCTCAGTAACCTATACTTGTTGCTTCATAAGGGATTCTGGGTTAGAATAGGCCCCATAGCCTATACTTGTCGCTCAGTAAGGGATTCTGGCTTTGAATGGGCCTAGAAAAATAGGCTGGTCACTTCTGAAGGAATTCTGGGTTTAAATAGACCCTGTAGACTATGCTTGTCACTCCATAAGGGAATATGCTTATTGCTTCTTAGGGAATTCTGGGTTTAAATATGAACAGAACCTATGCTTGTTGTTCCATAAGGGATTCTCGGTTAGAATAGGCTCAAGTTACCCATATTTGTTGCTTCTTAAGGGATTTTTGGTTTCAATAGGCCCAGTAACCTATGCTTGTCACTCCATAATGGATTCTGGCTTTGAATGGGCCCAGAAAAATAGTCTGGTCACTTCTCAAGGAATTATGGGTTTGAATAGATGCAGTAACCTATGCTTGTCAGTACATAAGGAATCTTAGGATTCTGGCTTTGTATGGGCCCAGTAATATATGCTTATTGCTTCTTAAGGAATTCTGGGTTTGAGTAGGCCCAGTAACCTATGCCTGTTGCTCCATAACTGTTTCTTGGTTTGAATAGGCCCAGTATTATATACTTGTTGCTTCTTAAGGAATTCTGGCTTTGCATGGGTCCTGGCTAGCTATTCTCGAAATGTTCGTATCCCTACGAACTTCTTAAGCCCATTCTTAACACATTGGCTACGATCAAAGTTAAGAATTCTTAGAGCTACGAACGTTTCGAGAATAAGGGCCCAGAAAGATATGCTTGTCGCTTCTTAAGGAATTCTGACTTTGAATAGGCTGACAATGTACTGAGACAAAATAAATTTAACCTTGACGCTGATTAATTCTAATGCAAATTTGTATTTCAGAATTTTTAAGTCAGGACTATGATAAAATACTGACATCTAACCAAGAAGAGCCTAAGACCAAGCAGGTTCTGGATTTCTTCAAGGCAACCGAGGGAGAGAGGGCAACTTTGGGTAGACTCATAACAGCTCTACAGAAAATGAAGAGACGAGACATTTTATATGACATAAAGGAACTGACTGGGTTGACCTTTCAAGATGAAGAGGATGAGATCAATGAACATACGAGAAAAAACAGCTGGGCTGGAACGAGCAGTAACATGGTGGACTTGGACATCCCAACTCCTGACATCACACCAGCAAATGTAAGTAGTGCAGCAAGAGCTGATGCCATCGGCCAATTTGAACAGAGTTCCATATCCTCCAGCACTCTTCCTGTGACAAACCCAAACAAATCCAAAGATGAAGCCCAGCAGTCCTGCATCAGAACCACAGAAGGTGAAGTCTCACAGAGTTCCTTCACTGGCACCAGATCTGGCATGTATACAAGTAATCAAATCATCTTGTCACAACTTGAAGAAGAAAAGAAACTAGAGGAAGCACTGCAATGTGAAAATCGAAGAAATCAGAACAGGCCTGTAGAAAGTCCCAATGAAGAGCATCCGATAGAACCAGAACATGGTAATCCTCCATGCCTGGAAAGTGACTCCTCTGATGAGAACAACCTTCATCAAAATTCTTCCAACAATGCTGAAGGGGGTGCTACAAAAATGGAAAATGCTAAAAACCAAGATACCAAACCAAAACCAGAACTTGAGTCCAAAGTCATCAATACCAGGTCCAGTGACAGCCCAAACAGAGATGCAATTGCCAGTACGAACCAACAGCCAAAGCCCTGTACAACTCCTGCAGCTGCCTCCAGTTCCCCTTTACCCAGCTCTATGAATTCAACAGGGACCGAAGCTGATCTTTGTCAAAATGGTCAAACTAGGATATTTTATCCTCCAGAACTTCCTGTACATGCCAAGGACGAAGGATCTCCTACTTCAGAGAAATTATCTACCAGTTTTAAAGCATATGAACCTGTATCTCCTGGACAGCTTCCCAACTTTGATAAGATCCAACCTGTTTCACTTGAATCATCAGGAAGATCAAATACTTCCCAAAGTATTCATGGACACAATGTTGCAGCTTCAAATAATCCAAATCATTTGTTGGGTCCCGATTCTGGTGTTACTGCTGGAACTCACCCTAAGGTAGGAGATAAGACGTCACCAAACAGTGATGTAGCTCACCATGAAACTATGCCCAAAACCGTAGCAGACTCCAGTGATGATAGCATTGAAAATGGCAATACAGCACCTAAGTTAATCTCTGGGCAACAAAGTTCTAGTGTCGAGGCTACCACACCACCTGAACCCACTGGTGCAACAGGGAGCCTTGGACCAGACTTGGATGTAACGTCTGATGGCAGTGTATGCTTTGTCGGAACACTTGGAAGCTCCATTCTGGATAATACACAAAGATACACTTACCCGGAGAACAGTGAAGATATTGGAGAAAGACATATTTTGACTATGTCTGAGGCATCTGTGTGTCCATCCAGCATTGCTAAGTATGAAAACAAAGTACTTCAACAGTCAATATATTATGAAAGAATGACAGACACTAAAGGGTGTGATGAAGGTGGCTTTATATCTTTAGGTGAAAGTGTTGAAGAAGAGGAGGAAGTAGGGGAACTCGCATCAGGACACACTGAGGTCAAGGAAAAGTCTTGTCAAGGTCAAGGTCACTCTGGAGCAGAAGGATCAAGAAGCATCAATGGAGGGCTTGGAGTCCCTGATGGGACGGCGACAGCAGACTCCAGAAGCATTGCACCTGCTGCTAATGGAACAGGAGTTATGTCTTCAGCTGCATCACCTCCTTTGAAAGGAGCATCAGCATCCTCAACTACTGGATGTACGTCCTCTTCAGCAGATGGAGACACTTCCACTGGGCATGCAGGGACATCAGCTAATACAAATAGAGGGACTTCCTTTTCAAGTGTGATTTACTCAGGATTGAAGCTGGTTAAATTTTTTACTATCGCCACTGATGTAAATAAGTTTTATTCCTCTTGATTGTCCTTTACCCTCCTGTGTTTGACTGTGCCTTACCTGGTTGAAGCTCAACCATCAACCGTGTTACAGCTGTACATAGATCAAGTTCATTTAGAAAGTTTCACTGCCTTGTTGACATGTTATTGATAATTTGCTTCTGTCGATTAATCAGCATCTTTTGGTGTCTGTCTAAAGACATTGTTCTTCCAGATTTAACCCCTCACCTCGGTTGTTGGCGCAGATGTGAATATTGATTGTAAGAAGTAGCTACGATGGGGCTTTAAGTTAAGGATAACTTGACATTATAAGTTGTATGCTCCTCTCGAGGGTAAAACGGTCTGATGTACGCCGCTTTGTGGCAGTGTTACCCAAGGGAGAAGCATACAACGTATTTATCTTACCGCCATGTTAAATTGACAAAATATTATTATATTTTATTTGGAAGATCGCTACCGACTATATGACATGTAAACAAAATCGGGTCTGTTTCTCAAATGGAATCAGTGAAACATATTCTGACAAGCTTAAAACTGCTATAAAAATGGTTAATTATGTTTAAGTTGAGTGTGCAAACGATTCAATGTATATAATAGTTTAAATAAAGCAGTAAAAGTCAGTGAAATTAATGTGTACATAATGAACTCAAAAACAGCTTATCGAACGGTTTTCGAACTCCGTGCTCTGCATGTGTCATATTATGACGTCATATGATTGTTAGCGATACAGCTTCTTGGCGGAGAGTTTGGCGGTTACCGTGGCAGCGTGTAATATTTTTTCCAGTTGTCACCCTCCTCAGAGGGGTGACACGGAAACTTGTTAAAGCATCATTGACCAATTAAATTAAAGAATTTTACATGAAGGTAAGATAATCATTGTTACACATAGTGTACATTTATAGAACATCATACTAGTGCATTTGGACAAAATGTATGAATGAGAAGATGTCACAGTAGGAGAGAAACGAGCACATTTCTATGTTGCATAAAACCCTGGTGATGTAATGGATTCGTTTTTGCAAGAGATAGTAAAATGAGACCCAGGACTACCTGAAATGCCTTTACCTATGTTTTTAATTTGGGCGGTCAATCACAGCTATCTGTTCTGATGGAGAGACTCAACCTTCTTCATGATGTATATCTGTTCATATCAAAAGTCATCAATAACACTAACACAAACATTTGTACAGATGAAGACAACATTACAAGAAGGTTTTATCTGACTATTCGTAATCTAGTGGCCATTTTTCAATAGGCCTAAAAAGATAGGAGCAGCCCCAACTGAAGGTATAACGCACAACAACCTAAATTTTGTGGTAGATATATTTCATAGTGACACTTCAGACTAAAGCTGTGTCTGGTCAGGATTCATTTATTTAGTATCTGTGATATGACCTTATATTGGCTGGACTGTTGATGGTGTAAAACATCATCCAACCACTTTTCTTGAGTTGATGTTAGGACTATAAGACTATAGTCATCTTTACACTTTGTTGCCTTGTAATGCAGAACATGTTAGAACTGATGTAGGTCTCATATTTATTTCTGTCAAGTAAGCTGCTTGGTTTTGCTAAATTTGTTTGAACCCAACACAATCCAAAATACTTGGTTTAACAATTCATTTCTGAACTATTTTACCCAAGTGAGACAAGATTACGACCCATTTCAGATGTATTTTCCCACCGACAATGTGCTGACTAATGATATTACTGAAATATTGTGAAGAATGAGTTATGCTTTGGGGTGATGGGTATTTATTTTGTGTCTTTTAAACAAATACACAGTTTATTTGGAGTCCAAGTGCTTTGAAAGAAATAGCTCCACTTACAGTGCTCAAATAACCCTTTTACTGTGCCATTGCTACAGTGCTGAAGTATGTACTTGGTGATGTACAGGTATTAGTGCTTGTTATTAAACAGGTGTGACGATATGACGAGGCCACAATATGATGCATATCCCGTTAGGGGTGCGATACGATTTGTATGCCAATACAGTACCTTTTTTTCATAAGTTCATATTCTCTCACCTTTTTGTAAGTGAATCACAACCCTTAATCTTTTTTTAAATTTCAGACAGCATGATAGGATATGGTAGGACAGAAATATATAAACTTGGAGGCACTGTGCAGATTCTGCTATTTATTGCCAACCAAGAAATACCAGAGAATCTGACAAAGTCTGGTTCTTGAAGAGTTTCTGTTATTATTACATGGTTTTACATCAATATAACTTGTAAACAATGTATCATATGTATTGCAGCACAGGAGTTGTATATTTATGAGTTTATTCACAACCATTGTATTGCGATATCATACTGTATTGCCATATCGTTACTACCCTAGTCATCAAGATGTCATAAATATCACTGAAAATATATGATAATTTGTAGATTTTTCAGTGAACAATCTGCTAGTGCTATTTCCTTCAACTGTTATTATTTCACTGTGTCTTTGTGGATTGTATTTAACTGTTATGCTTGTACATGGCTAGCATACTGGTCAAATCAGTTTTGTAAGCTTTTGTCATCATGGTAATATTCTTACCATGTAAAAATATTCTTGATGCAAACATCAATTGTTAATGTATTATGTATCCTAGAAGTAGTTGTGCTTTGTTGAGGTGATTGTTGCAAACATATCTCGCCTGTGCAGTTAAGGGCTATCAATATAGATCATAGAGATATATAATCGTTATTCCGTCACAAAAGTTTACATACAATATTATCGATACCACAATTTTCATATTGATAATCATTAATAATTTTTCCTATCGGCGATATTTCCAATTATCAATGTTTTTTCAAGCCATTGTACAGTTACAGTTGAAGCTGTCTAAACCGGCACACGTCGGGACTGAATAAATAATCTGGTTTTGACAGCGTGCTGGAATGTAGAGCTGACATGGTTACCTACGTCTAGAACTAAACCAGTTTTATCACTCTCATATACATTGTTGTATAATGTGGTTCTTTCAAGGCACTAATCACATGTACAAGTACACCCATACTGAACTAAGATTAAAATATCTTTGTCGGCAACCATGTAGTTTCAACACAGGATTACTGACTCCTTGCCACACGCCGGATTAGACAGCGCTGATTACTGTATAAACACATACATATTCGGGTGGCTCATTTCATGCCGAGATCCGGAATTGACAGCTGCCGGATTACAGAGCTTCTAACTGATGATAAATGTACTAGCCATGGACAGGACAGATTTTATGCCGATGTTGACAACTTGTCGGATTGGACAGCTGCCGGTTTTGACAGCTTCCACTGTACCATTGTTTTTCTATGCCTGATTGATGGCATATATTACATTGTATCAATTTATTTGAGCTAATGGCATTTGCTTTCTTTTGATTTTCGTTTTTCCATGTTAAACGATCTTTGATATTGCTTGTTATATATGATTGTAAATTATAAGAGTCTAGTCACTAGTTATAGCCATACACTAGTTTACTGTAGTAAACTTGATTTATACCAAGCTGTTCTGATGCTTGCCTCGTAGCCTCCTCTGGGGCAATATATCAAATCTTTGACGAAAATAATGTTTCATAATTTATTTGGTCTACAGATTCAACCAACCGCAGCCAATATCCACATTTAGAAAGTTAAGTATTGTAGTTCAAATATATTTTTGTTTGCCCAAGTCCTTTTTTCATGGATTACAAAACCCAACTCACTCACTCACTTTTCCAGTTTTTTTAGCTTGATACATAAGCTGCATAAAGTTGGTTTATGAAACTGCCAGCCATACATGGAATATATGCAGGAAAAACATTAAAATTCCTCATAAGTCTCTGTTACTAACTGCTGACTTGGCAACTGAAAGTTGTGAATTGTCATATCTAGAAGTAAGTGTATGAATCAAGGATGCTCGTTACTGTGTTCATTATAAAAGGTGCTTATTGATGGCTTCAATAAAGATTCTAAACAGCAGCTTCATACTTTTTTCTTAAATACTTGTTCGATGGTGGTGCTGTTCGTGGGTAGAATGTGTGTTGTTTAGTGAGTTGGTGGATGTGTTGTTTGGTAGAGATGGTGGTGTGAAGTGGGTATGTTGTTTGGTTGTGGTAGGTTGGTGGGTGTGTTGTTTGGTAGAGATAGTGGTGGGAAGTGCGTGCATTGTTTGGTTGTGGTAGGTTGATGGGTGTGTTGTTTGGTAGAGATGGTGGTGTGAAGTGGGTATGTTGTTTGGTTGTGGTAGGTTTGTGGGTGTGTTGTTTGGTAGAGATAGTGGTGGGAAGTGGGTGCGTTGTTTGGTTGTGGTAGGTTGATGGGTGTGTTGTTTGGTAGAGATGGTGGTGGGAAGTGGGTGCGTTGTTTGGTTGTGGTAGGTTGATGGGTGTGTTGTTTGGTAGAGATGGTGGTGGGAAGTGCGTGCGTTGTTTGGTTGTGGTAGGTTGGTTGGTGTGTTGTTTGGTAGAGATGGTGGTGGGAAGTGGGTGCGTTGTTTGGTTGTGGTAGGTTGGTTGGTGTGTTGTTTGGTAGAGATAGTGGTGGGAAGTGCGTGCGTTGTTTGGTTGTGGTAGGTTGGTTGGTGTCTTGTTTGGCAGAGATGGTGGTGGAAGTCGCGCATTGTTTGGTTGTGGTAGGTTGGTTGGTGTGTTGTTTGGTAGAGATAGTGGTGGGAAGTGGGTGCGTTGTTTGGTTGTGGTAGGTTGGTTGGTGTGTTGTTTGGTAGAGATGGTGGTGGGAAGTGGGTGCGTTGTTTGGTTGTGGTAGGTTGGTTGGTGTGTTGTTTGGTAGAGATAGTGGTGGGAAGTGCGTGCGTTGTTTGGTTGTGGTAGGTTGGTTGGTGTGTTGTTTGGTAGAGATGGTTAGGAAGTGGGTGCGTTGTTTGGTTGTGGTAGGTTGATGGGTGTGTTGTTTGGTAGAGATGGTGGTGGGAAGTGGGTGCGTTGTTTGGTTGTGGTAGGTTGGTTGGTGTGTTGTTTGGTAGAGATAGTGGTGGGAAGTGTGTGCGTTGTTTGGTTGTGGTAGGTTGGTTGGTGTGTTGTTTGGTAGAGATAGTGGTGGGAAGTGCGTGCGTTGTTTGGTTTGGGTAGGTTGGTTGGTGTGTTGTTTGGTAGAGATACTGGTGGGAAGTGGGTGCGTTGTTTGGTTGTGGTAGGTTGGTTGGTGTGTTGTTTGGTAGAGATGGTGGTGGGAAGTGGGTGTGTTCTTTGGTTGTGGTAGGTTGGTTGGTGTGTTGTTTGGTAGAGATAGTGGTGGGAAGTGGGTGCGTTGTTTGGTTGTGGTAGGTTGGTGGGTGTGTTGTTTGGTAGAGAGTGGTGGGAAGTGCGTGCGTTGTTTGGTTGTGGTAGGTTGGTTGGTGTTTTGTTTGGTAGAGATAGTGGTGGGAAGTGGGTGCGTTGTTTGGTTGTGGTAGGTTGATGGGTGTGTTGTTTGGTAGAGATGGTGGTGGGAAGTGGGTGCGTTGTTTGGTTGTGGTAGGTTGGTTGGTGTGTTGTTTGGTAGAGATAGTGGTGGGAAGT